CTGCGTACCGATAACTAAAAGATCATCCGGCTTTACAACTGGTCCGAACCTCGTTCTATTTGGGATATGACACTAACAGAAAGAAGTCACGACCAGCGTGCACTCCTCAGGAGAGAGAAGAGAGGAGTTTCGTAGCAGTTTATACAGTTCAGATAATATCAAAGCGGTAAAAGCAACATTTAGCACATTATCAGATAATGAATAAAGCCAAATATAACAATTCATCTAAGCTCGAATTCTGAACCCTGAACCAGAGATTCTGGGTTCGATCCCCAGTAGAGTCGCTAGAGCTGTCACACCTCCTTTTTTTCCTACACCCCCGTAAGGGTATAAGAGAGTTTTTTCCAATTTAAGTGACAATAGAAACGGGATTTATTTATTTATTTAAGTTCAGAGTCACCACTTGGGATAATTATGGTGTCCCAAGTCACCGGTTCAAATCCCGAGTCGAGGAAAAGGTTGACTTTGTATTACAGTCCGCGAACCAGAAATCCGGGTAAGGAATTCTGTTAACCTAGGAGAAAGTGTTAGGCATTCCCGAGTTTCGTGGTTCTAGCACGGTCGCTCAACTGTTACAATTGGCCTATTATCTGATTTGAATATATGTTTTAGCCTATGGTTCAATTTTAACTTTATAACCGCTTTTATTTAATTAAGGAAAATTGCAACGTCATTTAAAATACATCTTGAACCACATCACATAAATGCACCCGTAGTCTTCAACATATTTTATCTAACATTGTTGAGATTTGAATTTTGGGTCACATAAATGCGCACCCGAGTTTAGGAAGGTAAATTATTAAATAGCGCGCCTAAAGCAACTACGCATTTTCAAATTTGCGAGGGTCGTGAAAATTCAACTAAATGGCATGCCTCGATTTCTAAGGATTAAATTAATTGAGTGAGTGCCATGGGTTTCGGGATTTTATTTGGCACAGCGCGCCTCAAATTATTTTATCAAATGTATTTTTAACTTAGCTTTTGAGGGCCATAGATAGTAACTCATCTAATATAGCTCACCTCGAATTCATTTTAAGAAACTATTTAATTTATTGAAGGGCCTAATTATACCACTGATTTACTTTTAGACCAAACTAATCTGAAGTTTGAAAAAGACCATGGGGCCAGTATCAGTAGAACCTACATTTAACTATTAAAGGAACCCAAATCGATTAAGAGACCCAATGGCCAATTACTAATTCCATGACTTAAAACAAAGAATGCAACTGGGCTCTTCATAAAGCCCAGATCAGGAGTGTGCTTGTCGGAAAAGGAGAAATCAGCACGGCTGGGCCAAACAATGTTAATCTAATATAGCATATGACAAAATAACTCTCACCTACAAAGGGTATCAAGTTCATGCCAGAGTGATTCTGATTTCCTAAACGACTGCAGTCCCATATTCGAAATAAATGACATGCTCATGACAAAATGAAAACAGCCTAGTAATGCAGTCACATTTAAAGATTTACAGAAGCAGAAGATTTATGCAACCCTATAACTAAAATTCACTTATACATGTTATCATAGACCTTCTAGCATTTACACTAAGCAAGTGAAAAGAAAAATTTATACAACACTATGACAGAACCTAAACGATAATGACCAGAAACTAAATAACTCACACGAATCTAGGAGGAACATGAAAACAAAATACAATAGATTTTAAAGTGGTAATGCAACAGAGAATGGACAACAATCAGTTTCTTCAACTTGGATTGCACAACTTTAGCATAACATCCATAACAAACTTCATTTCCATCCATAGTTTGAAGGAAATACCTGGTAATGAACAAAGGAAAAACCAAAGAGAAGTAGAGGATCAGCAGCAAACAATAGCAGAAATCAGCCCAGATTCAGCCAATAAATCAGTGAAATCAGCTTAGGAAGATTCAAAAGAACTGTAGAGGAATAACAAATGCAAACACCAACTTCAAACCAAAAGCTCAAGTCATTTCTTAACCAGAAGTGTATCTAAGGAAATTTTTAAGTATTCTAGCTAACCAAAGGAAGTCAGAAATCGAAACAGCAGAATTTTGATAGTTCTTCAACAATGGAATGCAGGAATTTCAAAACCTTTAAAAGTAATCAGCCGTTCCAGCTTCTCAGTTTTTTTTTTCAAAATCTGACTTGAATAGCAAGTCTTGGTGACTGTATAGGCAAGGCATTAGGGCATCCTCAAAGAATTCAAATTTTGCAATTAGACCCTTTTTACATTTTCATTTTTGCTTAGAAAACCTTAGTCAATTTTTGGTTTTGCTTAACTCTCCTTAGTTCAAATGTCAGAATTTCAGAACAGTCCCTCTCCCCAGCTTCCTAGAAGCTTCCAATTCAGTTACACAATATTCCCCTAGCCAATTTCCCTAAACTACCCTTTTAAATTTCTGTTTTTACTTTTAAGAATTTAGACAGAACATGGGTCGAATTGACCCAATGGCTTAAGTCCCAAATGAATGGGTTGTTCTTTGCCAATGGGTTGGCATTGAACCCAAGGCCCAAACATAATCAGAATCCTATGTTGACTATTCAGTGAAAAGTCAGAAAAATTACACAACTGAACAAATTCACAATAGACATTTTAGTCAAATGACTGACTCCCTTTAAAATTAGCTAATGAACTATAACTAAGCTAAATTACCACATTTAACAAAGGCCAAGTATACGACTGGAAAATCAGAAATTAAACGAGCCATATGCGCAACTAAACAGTATTCACGAGAACATCTATAAGCAAATTAAAAAGCTCGCGGAATAAGTACGACCCCCATATAAGCAAAGAAACCTATATTCAGTATTTTAATACTTCACCAGATTCAAACCAAGAAATCAAACTAAAAAAGAGAAAGGGAGAGGGACAAGTAAAAAGAAAACGGACATAAAAGGATACGAGTTCAAGAATGACACAGAAGGCGGAGATGAAAGAAAAAGAACAAAAAATGCCTCGAAGGCCATGCGGACAGGTCTTGATAAACTCCATGCAACTTCGATTTTACTCGAAACGGGTATTAACTGCATGTTCTCTTTGAGAATAAACGAACAATATTTGTTTCAAGACGAATCGTTCATAGGAACTTGAGGACCCGAAAGATTCTCTTTCCTTTGATTCTTAGATTCAAAACTGGTCCGATTTGGTGATGATTTGGGGAGAAGTGGTGGTGGATTAGGATGCAAGGAGGGGTAATGGTTGTATGGCTGGATTTTGGTGATGGTTGGAGCTCCACCGCCGGCCGGAGATGGTGAAGAAGCTCAGGGCGGCGGGTCTAGGGTTGAAGGTGAAGGGGAAGGGTCGAAGTACAGAGATAAAAGGTTATTCGGAAAATTATATCAAAAATACAGGGGTGTTCCTTGGCCGTTGGATTGAAAGAAATCAATGGCCCAGATCTATCATCTCCCGAACGACGTCGTTTTGATTTTTGGGACAAGGGGAACTGGACCGGGTAAAACAACGGATCTTGGGCCAATTTCGACGAGCTTCAGTGTAGAATCTTTGGGCTTGGGAGAATTTAAATGGTTTTTAGCCCAATATAGACTCTCTTCTTTGTTTTCCTTCCTCTTTCAATTCAATTTTCTTTTTATTTTCAAACTCTTTTTAATTTCTTTTAAATAAATAAAATAAAACCTAAATTAATTCCTAAATCAAATTAATCTACCACATTGAATTAATTAACTCCGATGAACAATTACCACAAATAATTAAAAACCAAATTTAAAGGGAAAACTACCAAAATTTCAAAAATTAAAATTAAAAAGTGCAAAAGTAAACTTTTTTTTTTTTGTAAAACAACTTAATTTGCTAATTAGTCTAACAAATGTAAAATTAAATCCTAAATGCAAATGCAACATATTTTTGTATTTTTCATGAATTAAATAAAATAAACGTGCACAGATAAATGCATACAGTCGACAAAAAAATGCCACAAAAATCCACAAAATTGCAAATAATGGGAGAAATTTATTTTTCTTGAATCTATGGGAGTAATTCATACAGGGCAAAAAATCACGTGCTCACAACTCCTATCATAAATAAATGAGAAAAATAGTTTTCAAGAAGGAATCAATTTGTCTTTAATTTCTAAAATCTAGGTTAAATAAAAGAGAAAAATATCTTTTCAAGGAGGAATCAATTATTTGCCATTCCAAATTCTCGGCAACTTTGCTACTTATCAAACAAAAACTTAAGAATGGTTTATTTACCTTTTTAATTACTCCTAACATTTTGTTTTAAAAAAATGTTATGTGTTTATATTGAACATTTTTTTTTTGGAAAGTGTCAAGTTTATATAATTAAATGTAAGAAACGAACCATCCTTGCTTTTTTATAAAATTATAGTTAATGTGTCTTTGTCTCCAAAAGCAAGAATATTATAACACAAACAATTATTTATGGATGAACATATCTTTTTGTAATGTTAATAGATCATATTATTCTTCAATTATGTACTATTTCTTCAAAACATTATACATACAAAAATATAAAATTGTTTAATAATGAATAATAAATAAAACTATAGCATATTCATGGCTCCTTATATAATTGCAGTATTCTCTTTATTGTTCATTTTTTTTAGAATAATACAAACTTGTTACATTCAGTTTAACCTTTTAAGTTGTTTCCTATAAAGAAGTTTAGAGGTTACTACTAATACAAATTAACATATTGTGCTTATTCTGAGCTTTTAAATTAAATACAAAGCCCATGTATCGAAATCCAATAAAATATATCAGGACTTTGTGGGGCAACGTTTCTTTTCTTACAGAATTAGTTAAACAAAATTAACATTCATATTTTTAGGAAGTTAACTATTTCCTTTAGTTTAAATTCTATATCTAGATTAATAATATTTATGTGATTTTTATAAAGATTTTGATTATAATATGGGTACACGCACAACGAACGTACCCTAAGACTAGTTAAAATGAAGTGCATGAAACACATTGTGTAACACTACACCACCTTCAGCAATTGCCTCAGCAAGACATATTTTACAAGAAATTACAGATATGGCAACCGTTTCTAATGTTGTATAGAGTCACATAAATGTTGCAAAAATCACTAACAAACATTACACTTGTATCGGTAATTTCAAGAATTTTTCACATTTATATTACAGACAGTAATTCAACAGTGACATTTTGTTTACGACTATCATAAATGTCAGCATTATGAATTTCCAACTGATCATTTTCTTATAACAAATTTAGAAGTGCCAGAAAAGTTTGGATTGTTAGTCACATGTGCGATTGACTATAAGAGAAATCTGTTAAAAACACTGGTTGGGTCTTCATGATATCAGTTGGATTCAATGCAGCAGCATGGTTAGATATCATTTTAACTCTTAAACTTTTTCTCGTCGTTCATTTCTCTTTTTGACATGCATTGATGCCTTGTTTACACTTGTTCTACTGTAAAAGTGAATGTTTGAATCAGATAATCTTGCTTTTTTCTGTGAATGCATACCGTTTCTTTCAGTCCAGATTGAATAGTAGTGTCAACATCAGTCAACTTGTCAAAGATCTTCATTTCAACTCCTTCATCATGGCACGTGGATGAGTCCTTTCCCTTCTTCTTTTTCCTTTTCTGATGGGCTGTATTTGTTCTCAAAGATTGGTCCTCCAACGCTTCTGCTAAAGCTGCCTTTATTATTGGTCTATGTTGTGTGGAGTTCTCTGGAATTGCAACATCCCTACGATTAAACCCGGTGGAACCCTGACAGCTATCCAATTTTTTCACTTTATTCGCAATAGTCCCAGACTGTGATGTTTCATCAAGTGCATCAGTGTTCCTATTCCCACACTGCGCGTCCTGCACAGCAGAGATTTCAGCACTTGCCCCACCCATCCTACATTTCTTCTTTCCCAGTTTTGACACCTTATTACTGTGATCAGAAGGTAAAGATTCAGCACTGGCATTTTTGGATCTCGTGTTTATGTGCTCTCTTTCTCCTTCATTAGTATCATTTCCAACAACCTTAAATTCAGAAGCATCATTATCTATGCCATGCTTTGAAGTGTGGGTATCTGTGGCAAGGCCTTCTTCTATGTGACGCTTCTTAGCCACAGGACCAGCTCCGGGAGAAAGTTGCTGTAATTCATCCATGGTCTTGAATTCACGAATGACCTTTGCGACTTTCTTCTTTCTCACAATGGAGCTTGAAGCCAAGTTTCCGTGAGCTGGGTAAGGTTCATTAGTATCAAAAACCTTCTCTATTTCAGTGAACGAATGATTGTCAGCTTCAGTTTGCGCATATGTGATGCAAAGTAACCGTTGGTCACAGCTAGAAGCATCAATAGAAAGGAACCAGCCATTTTTTATACCTTCAAAAACACTTCTGACAAGCATAGTATCAGATAGGTGATAGTAATGTCCTCTCCGTTTCACCTTTTTAGGAATAACAAAAGGCATCGATCATCATGATTTTACAAGAATATATATAGACAAAAAAAACAATGAGTTGGAGGATTAGCAACAGACCTTCACTGAAGAAATCTTCAACTCTTTCATCTCAGGAAAGCACCTTAAATGTTCAAACGCGACCTTTTCTGCTTAACACAAACATGTTTTATCAGGCAACTCAACTCTTTTGTAACTTAACTATTCGTTGATTGAGAATCTAAAATCACTTATAAGCAAATTAGAACCAACAACGCGAAATTCATACTTTGGATACAAAATGGATTTAAGTTACATACACCGAAAATTTAAAAAAAAAATTAACACCAAATTTAACATAGGATAACAGGTCAGTTACCATTCTTACCAGATTAACAATTAATATTTATCGAGAGATTAACTTGTGATTACCTAATAAGTTACCAATTGTGTTAATATTTTACACATTAAGTACATAGCGCATAAAAATTAAACTCATACAAAATTAACCAACAATTTTTACCTTTTTGGCATACCCAACATACAAGCAGTGAGTGCAAATGCACCCAATTCGTCAACGTTTTTTTTAATGATGAGTCAAAGTAATTTCACTAACAGAGCATCCACAGATGAAAATGTATGAAACAGCAGCCTGTGAAAAGTTAAAAAATACGTATATATAATTGAGAAAAGGGGAAAATTACTTTTGAGATCGAAGACAGAATCCGAGTCGGAGACAACTAAAGCTAAGTGAGTATCAAAGTTGGTATCTACGAAAACCGTGTTGTACGACGTCGCAGGTTCGATTGCCGGCGCTCCATTGGAATCGGTTTCTTCGCGATGCCGTTTCATCATGATTGCGCCGCCAAGAACGACGGCGGAAGAGCTCCGGAGAAGCTGACGAACAGAAGCAGAAACGGGGGTTTTAGCTCTCTGGTAGCAATGAAGGGTTATACCGCCCAATTGAAGGGGTTTTTTGCCGCCAACGAAAATGGGCCTACCCGTGCTTTTTTCAAAGAGAAATTCTCATAAAGTACTGTATTTTAGTAGTAATTAACCATTTATAAATAATATTTGTTATATTACGGATTATAGATACATTTTTTATGGTTATAAGATGTATTTGATGTATTTAAGCTATTATGTTCATGAATACAGTAGCAAAAATAGGCGTGAATCAGGGAAGTTCAACTAATCAGTTGTTGTATTCGAGTGTATTCGACTGCATTCATGGAGTGAAACATGTGATTACAGCTGGACAAATTATTGTATTCGATTGTATTCACGGCGTGAAATAGATGATTAGACTGTTTTTAAAACAGAAAGTGAATCAATTAACATAATAGACTCCGAATATAACTCAACAAACTCAATTATAACACACAAATTTTGTATTTTCAGTTATAAAAAAGATTCTCAACCGAAATATACCCCAAAAACATAGCAATCTTCAGAGAAATTGTATAATAAATCTGAATATATAAATTATATTAATTAAAAAAATATACGAATACATTCATGGCATATAGCGAGACAGTGAATACAATGAAATACATAAAATACAGCGGGATACATTGAAATACAATTTTAAAAAAGACAGTGAATACAATAAAATACATGGAATACAACGAGATACATTGAATTACAATTAAAAAAAAGACAATGAATACAATGAAATACATGAAAATACATTGAAATATATTAACAGAAAATCAAGTTGCTCAGCCCCAAACTCCGTCGTCTTTGTTCAAGAACAAACCCTAATTTCCTTCACCATTGATGACATATTCTTTTCGAATTGCTTTACTAGACTCATCATCGTCACTAGCAAAAACAGTGAGGAAAGCGAAGCTACTCAAGAGGGCATAATTATTAGCAGTGACTGAGAAAATAGATTCAGATTTGTTGAATCCAGAGAAGTCGGTCGGATAAAAATAGAGACAGAGGAATTTAGTGCCAGGGGAAACGATGAAATTGTAGGTGAATTGAGATTGGAAAATACGGGCACTCATATAATAAACTCTAACCCTAATGAGAGAGAGGGGATAGAGAAAAATCTGAAAGAATGAGAGATAAAATAATACAAAGAGTATTTTATGGCTTAAGGGTAGGAGATAACCATAAATAAATATTTGGCTATAAAAAGCAAAAGGTAGCTATGGAATATAATTTTTTAAAAGGGTATTTATTTAAAATAAATAAGGTATCAACCTTTGCTATAGGAGGTAAAAATTCCTTTTCGAAAAGCCCAAGCCAATTTAGAGTTAATTACCAAACAAATCTGGGCACTCTACTAATTGAAGAATTAACCCAAATAGCCGTTCACCCAATTGCTTAAACTATATAAGCATAATTTTGTGTTATATGTATATAATTATGTATAATCAATGTATAGACCATGTAGATAGCTAGAAAAAATAAACAATAAATATGGCCGACTATTTGTGTAAAAATTCCCTACTAATTGACACATATACAAATCTAAAGAGAATTTGGCAACTGTTTAGCCAATAATTGACATTGGCACACATAGCCCACAAAAATTAGCAATATGTAACCCTTATAATCTTATAATTTTACTTCTCTTTCTTCACATTTTTCTCAAGCCACACTAGATCTCCTCCGTCAGCCCCACAATAATCCCATAAAAATTTCAAGGTTATCCTTTGTAACCGTAAAAAATGGTAGGTTATCGGAAAGTTTCTTTTATAGCACATTTTTTGACTCTAAGGGTAATATAATTGAGTAAAATTTATTTTGTTTCTAACAAGAAAGAAATTTCATTTGTGTATGAAACCACGGGTCTATGTCGGCTTAATATGATAAAGACAGATGAATATATATTACGTTGTATATTACTATATATCATACACATATTTTTATGAATATGCATACATATACACGTTACATTAATATATATACGGAAGATATACTTGGATATTCAGGGAGATATACTAATATACACTTGTCATGTCATGGCAAGTCACCCGAAAGTTCTATTTCAGGCACATTTCTGATAATGTATATCATATTATATATCGTGCATATCATTGTATACCAAGATATACATTATATACATGTGACACAAATATAGAGATGCTACACGGATATCCAGGGGATATACGCTTGTCGAATCATGGCAGATATTTCATGGCAGATATATGAATTTCCAGTACACAAAATTTCTTATTTTTGTTTTCACCACTAAAGTTCTTTTTTATCCGATAATATCATTGCAAAAAATTGAGGATTGTTTTATCAAATCAGATTATGATAGAAAGGGAAAATTTGATTTCTAGTACGCAAAACAACCGTGAAAATATTCATCTAACATCTTTCTTTCTCCTTTTCTTTTTGGCAAGTATTACCTTTTGACTGTTACATTGACACTCAAGCATTAAAGAATTGTATTGGTAGAAAATAAATATGACACGTGAAATTATGTGTGGCTGACAAGGCATGATATGGGGATCACTAAGAAGGTGACAGCTGGAGTACTGCATTAGAAGATGCACGAGATGCAAGAGGCAGGGGCAAATCACTTCCGGGAAGAAGGGATATTGTTGTTCGAGTCTAAACCATTCAGTAAATATGAGTTGAACGAATCAAGACATTAAGAAGGGGAATATTCACGAAACTCTAATTAATGAGGAATAAGAATTGGAACCATTACAAAATCTCCACAAACAGTTACGATTGTCAATTATAACGGATCATTAGTGTCATTAATGTCATAATGATCCGGCCATAAAAGGGAGAAAACGTTATATTTGTAAATCCCTATAAAAGGGAAGAGAATTTCATTTGTAAGGATCATCTGAGACTATATTGGAATATATTCACTTTACTTTTCTGCTATCTTGACTTTGCAATCAATTATTTCTTTACTTATTTTTGTCTTTCCTTTCATATAATTGAGAAAGTACGAAATTTCTTGGTTATCAGTAGCACGAGTTCTTCTAAAAATAGTCTTTGACCTTGTCACACCTCCTTTTTACCTACACCCTCGAGAAGGGAGTATATAAGGGAGTTTTTTCCAATTTAAGTGACAATCGAAACGGGATTATTTTTATTCAAATTCAGAGTCGCCACTTGGGATAATTTATGGTGTCCCAAGTCACCGGTTTAAATCCCGAATCGAGAAAAAGATTGACCCTGTTATACAGTCCGCGAACCAGAAATCCGGGTAAGGAATTCTGTTAACCTGGGAGAAGGTGTTAGGCATTCCCGGGTTCCGTGGTGCTAGCACGGTCGCTCAAACTGTTACAATTGGCCTATTATCTGATTTTAGTACATGTTTTAGCCTATGGTACAATTTTGAACTTTATAGCCGCTTTTGTTCAATTATTTTTACAGAGAAATGCAACGTCATTTAAAATACGTCTTGAACCACGTCACATAAATGCACCCGCGGCCCTCGACATATTTTATCTAACGTTGTTGAGAATTGGATTTGGGTCACATAAATGCGCACCCGAGTTTAGGAAGGTAAGTTATTAAAATAATGCGCCTAAAGCAACTATGCGTGGTCATAATTAATTATTCTAGACTACTTTGAGATTATTAGAGGCCATGATGAGCAATATAAGCTACTTCAAACTATATTAAAACACCTTTCATAACGACCTTATATACTATGCAATTACTGCAACGAGGGGTTACTTTTGGTATTTGGTAGATCAAATTCAAACACAGATAATTAATATTTGAAGGAGCTTGTAAATTCCAAGAAATCCAAAATAAAGAAAGGCAAATAACGGGGTTCAAAAACGAACAGTACAAAGAGTTTTGAAAACCAAGAATTTGGAATATGAAAATTCCTTTGCTGCAAAATGCCAAAATAGAACAATTGTTCCTTGTTCTCATTCTTTGGTTTTACCCAAATACTAACAGACAAACTTAAAACCTTTTCAAGATAAAACCTTGTTCCCATTATTTGCAAGATTTCATCTAAGTTAATTTTCTAAAAAGAAAAACGATCAACCATGGATAAAATAATTCAGTTGCCAAACTTACTATATGACCCAATTACCAAATAAACTAGATCCTAATTATCAATTGGCAAAAATAAATTTTTCCTCTAAATCTAACACTCATTACGTACCAGAAATCAACAATTTAAGCAATAAACCAGCAAAGCTCAACAATTGAATTAAATAAAAGTTAGTAAAAGAAGTATTCTAATTTCACAAATCAGACAAACTCATATATCCATAAACTTAGCATTCAATTAAAAGTACATCGGAAGAAAGGAACCTCGATGGTGGCTGCCGATAAAAATATTGAACAAAAGAGCGAAGACTATCGAACCGGACCTCGTCAGCATCTCTTCGAACCCATGGATTAAGAGAACTTATTTCACCTACTTTGCTTTAATTTCTCTAAACATGGAAACTCCTAAATCTTGGAATAGTGGCAAGAGGAAAACAGTGGAGGGAATGGATTTTTCTACTATTGGTCGTTGTAGAGACGAGGGGTTGTTGAAGGGATGGGAAATTGAAAACCAGAATTTCAGTGGGATGCGGCTAATCTCCTTTAGGGTGCTGCTGCCGTTTTCTTTAGGGTCCGGATCAGATTTTAGGTCTCTCCCCTTTTTAATTTAGGGATTAGGTACTATTATATAGGGGTAGGGATTAGGTTAGGGGTTTGGGCCTAGGAATTATGGGATTGAGAATTATGGGCTAGGTCCAAAATTAAGCTTTTAAAAAATGGGTTGCTCGAGCCCAAGTTTTATTCTTTTTCCGCGAATGGGGCTAAAATACGACCTCATTTATTAATTAATTCTATTTAAGTAAAATAACTATTAAAATAAGACTGACCGTTAAACAAAATTATTTTTGGTATTTTTCAAGATTAAAAATGACTACAAAATATTAATGAAACTATTTTTTTGTAATTTTTATTTTCTTGTAATAAAATAAAGTAATCGAGTAAAAATTAGTTGAAATAGTTATATTAGGCCTAAATTAAATATCTACGTGCTAAAATATGAAAAATCTTGGGGAGGGTCAAAAATCACATGTCTACAGCTGCCCCTCTTTGATTGAAAACACGAAGAGTTTTCAGACAAAGAATGACTAGACAGGTTTTTTGATCCGACCCTTATTTAAGGAGAGCAAAAACTAAGAGGAAGGAGAATGTGACCGAGCCCTGGTATTTGAGCTGCCTACATATCCTTGGCTATAAAGGAATCAGGCCACGTGTAGTTCAGAAGTGAGTGAGATGATGGAGTATATCGAGGTGGAGAGCCGGTCGAGGTGTCGTTCCGTCGAGGTTCCGGTCCGCGGTCTTGTTATTACATCAAAAAAATCAAAATATGAAAAAGACTAGCTAAGCCTGTGTAAAGCCCAAGAAAATTGTGCTAAGTAATCTAAGATTTCGTGGCGCCAAGATAAGCTAATTATTTTATCTTGTGTGCGAGTGAGGGTTCATGATATAATGGATATCAATTAGATAAATTAATAAGTGTATGAGTCATATTATAAGTAGTTTGGGATCTAAGGAGAGGCCTAAGTCTAATCCAAGTTGGAAAAATTTCATAATAGGCTAAAGTTGTAAGTGAATGCGCACAAGACCTCACTTTGGACAAGCATATCTCTAGTTATATAAAATGTTGAGTGATTCACAACCTATCAAATTAAAGCGCTTTGAGTCTAGTTCCCAACGCAACAAACCGTTTGTCATTTGGAGGTATATACAGAAAGTTATGACCATTTTACCGGACATGTATCACCAGCGCGCCCAGGAGCGCGGCTGCGGCGAACAGCGGCAAACCAAAGTTTTTCTGCCTGTAAACCGCGGCGAACCGTGGCAAACCAAAGTTTTTCTGCCTGTAAACCGCGGCGGACCGTGGCAGAATGCGGCGGAACGCGGTGGAACATGTAAAATGTCTAAAATACCCCTAGTCAGTGTAAAAACCGAATGGGTATTACATTTTCTTCATTTTTTGATCATTCAAGCTCGAATTTTGGGATTTTCTTCACCCTATCAAGACCTCTAACCCCTCCCATCTTCAAGGTATGCAATATTCATTAACTTGGTGTAAAATTCCATTATTCTTACACTAGTATTGATGAAATCTACTCATAAAACACAGATCTTCAAGAAATTCCTTCAAGAACTCAAAGGAGGGTTTTGCAAGATTTCTTCCAAAAGGTAATCCTACACCCTTAGACTTGCATGTATGAATTTATTATGGGTATATAAGTGTGAATAAAGTATTAGGACTCTTGGTGTGGTGATTAGAAGCCATAAGTTCCTAATATAAATACATAGTCATTGTAGAGATTGGAAGGTGATTATTTGATGGAATTTTGTTGGTTGGGTGATGATGGGTTGTCACACATATGTTGTTGGAAGTTATAAATTGGTTAGGAATGATTGTGGAATGAATTGTTGGTTGATGGTGATAGTTGGGTGAACCAATACTATAGTTATGAGGTGTAAAGATCTATACCTACAAGGTGCTTAATGATATGCCTAAATGGCATAAGTTACGGAATTTATTACTAATATTGGCCCTATTGAATGTTGTATTGTAGATTGAGGTTGCTAAGTGTATTGGATAATTGTAGTATCATTAAGGGCGAATTTGAGGTATATATGGCTAACTTTAGCTCTTGTAGAATCCCCTTGTTGTGACGAGCATACAGTATGTGTACCTTGTATGAAAATATGTGTATTGATTGTCTTAGTTGATTTCCACACCACCGTGTTATATGTGATTGTGAAAAGTGATTTGATGTGCCTACCTTATTATGTTCTAAGCTTGTAAATGCTTGAGGATGATGATATAGGAGTACATGTTAACAAATGAAAGAATGTTAATGTGTCCAAATGTGGAAATGTGTATAATGGCTAAAACCCTGCGTGGTAAGTAATGAAAGATGGTATTCTGAAATGACGTAAATAAGTTGAACGATTACAACAACACCTTGTACATGAATTACTACTTGGTGACATCTATGGTGTCTTAGGCCCGAATGTATGAATTATTGATATGAACTTGTGCTTCCTTGAAATGATGATTCTTGTGATTAATATGCTTTAAATGTTGTTGGTTAAGTCTCGCGATATACTGGTGTAAGTAAATGGCAACAAACCAAGTGTGTGTGTGTGAATGTGTGAATGTGGTAAGAACTGTGTAACAAATGATGGAAAGAAATCGTAACTGATGCAATTGAAACAACTGTGGTAATATCATACGTGACTTGTCGCGGGCAATTATCATTGTGACTTAAATTGTATACGGGCTATTGCATATGATGGAAATGGTATTGATATTATGAAAGTTCTTTGTGAATTATTGTTGTTGTCGTGTGAAATTTGATTGTCCGATGGGATCAGGTTGCGCGCCGCAACACAAAGTTATAAGGTGTGGGTTGTGGTGATAAGGGTGGCCGAGGTAATAAGGGTGAAAAAGTGATCGAAATCACTATTGAAATGAAAATATGTGAAAGTTGTGAAACCATTGATGTGATGAAATAATGTTGAAAGGGGAAAAGGAGAGATTGTGGAACTTGTTTGGCTTTAGTTGTTCCTTTCATGTGCATTGGATTGTTGATTCTATTACTGTTTGTTACCTGTGTATTTTTTGATTTTACTTGGGGTAAAGTTTGTTCATACATACCAGTACAATTCAAATGTACTGACGTCCCTTTTGCCGGGGGCGCTACATTTGTGTTATGATTGTAGGTGGTTCTATAGCAGGTACTCCAGTCCACCAACATTAGCACTCCTTCACTTTCCGTCAGCTGTATTGGTGAGCCCCTTTTTCCTCTCGGGGCCCTGCGTGGCTCATGCCGTTTTTCCTCTCGGAAATCTTATTTTGGTATTTGCGTAAGGTATAACCGGAGCCTTGTTACCGGCAAGTATTGCAACACTCTTTTGTATCCCTAGAGGCTCCGTAGATGTTTGTGTGCGTTATGTATGGGTATTGGATAGGTCAATGGACCATGTTGTAACCTTGTACTCTTGCTTTCTTCTACACTATAACTTGTAGGGAACCTTGGAAGTTTAACCACGTTTTAAATGTTGTGATATAAAATGAACTAAGATGTTAAATGTACTACCTTTCCTAGTTTAAATAAAGTTAAGCATGGCTTCTTTATTCCTATCGAGTTGGGTAGATAGCGGTTGATAAGGCTTGCTCAGTTGGGTTCACTCGATTGAGCGCCGGTTGCGCCTCGGCTATGAAACATGATATGCTGTTAGGATATGTATTTGGGGCCCTCTGACAGGTGGATAGGTCTAGTTACAAAGGAAACTCTGGCGAAATTTTCGAAAATTTAAGTAGTTAGCCAAATTCGGGGCTGTTGATATATTTCATGATGTGAACAAGCTGAAGTTACATAAGGATGGCTAGTGAATGAACCTTGATCCTCATTCGAGGACGAATGATCCTAAGCGGGGGAGAATGTAAAGCCCCAGAAAATTTTGCTAAGTAATCTAAGATTTCATGGTGCCAAGATAGGCTAATTATTTTATGTTGTGTGCGAGTGAGGGTTCATGATATAATGGATATCAATTAGATAAGTTAATAAGTGTATGAGTCATATTATAAGTAGTTTGGGGTCTAAGGAGAGGCCTAAGTCTAAGCCAAGTTGGAAAAATTTCATAATAGGCTAAAATTATAAGTGAATACGCACAAGACCTCACTTTGGACAAGCATATCTCTAGTTATATAAAGTGTTAAGTGATGAACAACCTATCAAATTAAATCATTTTGAGTCTAGTTCCTAACTCAATAAACCGTTCGTCATTTGGAGGTGTATACAGAAAGTTATGACTATTTTACCATACTGCGTCACCAACGCGCCCAGGAGCGCGGCGAACCGCGGCAAACCAAGTTTTTTCTGCCTGTAAACCGTGGCGGAACGCGGCGGAACGTGGTGGAACATGTAAAATATCTAAAATACCCCTGGTTAGTGTAAAAACCGAATGGGTATTACATTTCCTTCATTTTTTGATCATTCAAGCTCGAATTTTGGGATTCCTTCACCCTCTCAAGACCTCCAACCCCTCCCATCTTCAACGTATGCAATCTTCATTAACTTGGTGTAAAATTTCATTATTCTTATACTAGTATTGATAAAATCTACTCATAAAACACATAGATATTCAAGAAATTCCTTCAAAAACTCAAAGGAGGGTTTTGCAAGATTTCTTCCAAAAGGTAATCCTACACCCTTAGACTTGCATGTATGAATTTATTATGGGTATATGAGTGTGAATTAAGTATTGGGACTCTTGGTGTGGTGATTAGAAGCCATAAGTTCCTAATATAAATACATAGTCATTGTAGAGATTGGAAGGTGATTATTTGATGGAATTTTGTTGGTTGGGTGATGATGGGTTGTCACACATATGTTGTTGGAAGTTATAAATTGGTTAGGAATGATGGTGGAATGAATTGTTGGTTAATGGTGATAGTTGGGTGAACCAATACTATAGTTATGAGGTGTAAAGATCTATACCTACAAGGTGTTTGATGATATGCCTAAATGGCATAAGTTACGGAATTTATTACTAATATTGGCCCTATTGAATGTTGATTGTATATTGAGGTTGCTTAAGTGTAT